TTTTTTTTGAGACGGAGTTTGTTGCCCAGCCTGTTGCCCAGGCTGGCATGAATGGCGCGATATTGGCTCACCCCAACCTCTGCCTCCTGTGTTCAAGCTATTCTCCTGCCTCAGCCTCCCAAGTAGCTGAGATTACGGGCATGCACCACCATACCCGGCTAATTTTGTATTTTTAGTAGAGACGGGTTTTCTCCATGTAGGTCAGGCTGGTGTCAAACTCCCGACCTCAGGTGATCCACCCGCCTCGGCCTCCCAAAGTGCTGGGATTACAGGCGTGAGCCACTGCACCTGGCCAGAATATAGTTTACTCTTTAAGTGTATGGTGTGTACACTTGCCAGGTCCTGTTTACAATTTGGTATCTTATTGCTACGGAGTCTATTCTGTCAGTCTTCTGATCTCTGTTTTAAGATTAATGCTGCTCAGTTGTGTGTAAACTACAAAAGGAAGGAAGTAGAACCAGGTGTGTCTGACCTCCCATCCCATCACAGCTGGGAACTGAAGTTTTTAAGGTTTTTCTGGGGTCCCCTTGGTCATGAGGGGGTTTGTTCAGTTGGTGGGGGGCATAGGATTTTATTTTTAGTTTACAGGGTTAAATGACAATCTATCACTGAGCTTCAGCCTTCCCTACAGCCTCCTGTGTTATAATTTTAGCACACCAGGCTGCTTAAGCTAAAGCATGGGGAAAGGGGAAAGGAAAGAAAAAGAAAAAGGAGTATCCCAGGGGCGCAGCCAGGGGCCCTGCTGACTGCTGGCTGCGGCCCCTCTGCAGCCTGGCCTCTGGGTGCTCCTGCCCCTTTCCCTTGGTCGCTGAGTGGCCTCCTTGCGCTTGGTCTGTCAAATGCCTTCTACAGAGAAGGCACAAGAAGTTTGCATCCTGAAGCAGCCGCTGGTCTCCAGATGGAGCCACATTCCCCTACACCTGGGGCCAGACCTCCAATAATGAACCCTGCTCAAACCTATCTGTGAAAAAATGCTTTCGTCTTGGATTTGCGTTTTTCACCTTATTCGACAATCTGGGGTTGGCTTACTCGTGTTCATTTACAGACTGGGTCCTGCGTCCTTGTGACCCACACCTCGGGGCAGAGGCCATGTGAGTCCCTTTCAAGCAGCTGCAGGTTAGTGGGGAAATTGCACAAGGCAACTAGCCAGGGTGACACCCACGGGCAGGGCGATCCAGAATCCCACGGGCAGATTTCCTGCAGGCCCCTGGGCAGGTGGCACAGATCTGAGTCCCTAGCAAAGAAAGAGGCCCTTTCTGCGGCTGGTGGTGGGATGAGGCTGGGGAGGCATCTGTACCAGCCTGGGGCGGCGTGTGCGCCAGCCTGGGGCCTTCAAATCAGGCCTCAGTGCCCAGGCAATGGGAAGAAGACGGGAGTTTTCTGATAGCTGCGTGGAGGTGAGGGGATGCTGCCAGGGGGTTGCCAGGTGGGATGGGGCTATGGGAATAGAGAGGAGAGCACAGTTCCTGAGGGACTGAGGGATCCAGCCTCAGAGTGGGAGGGGCGGGGGTGGGGGAACACTGCAGCAGGGCATGTAGACCTCCCAGGTTCTGGTGAGCAAAGTGGGTTGCCCAGGGGATGCCTTCACAGGGACAGGCCTAAGGGGAAACCAGGGAGAGATGAGTGCTTAGCCTGGAACATCTTGACCTCATACTCATAACTCAAACCCTCTGTGCCTCGATTTCCGTATTTGTGAAAAAAAGCCCCCACTCTCCAGTTTCCCCGTGAACAATGCTGAAAGGACAGACAAGCTAGCGGTGTCCCCAACACTCATGAGGCCTCACCCCACCATGTACCAAGGACAGGAACGCAAGATGTTAAACGTTTACGTCTAATTGAGCCTCCCCTATTTTACCTAACCTTGAAAGAAACTCCTTTTAAAAACACGAAGGCAGGCTGGGTGCAGTGGCTCAAGCCTGTAATCCCAGCACTTTGGGAGGCCGAGACGGGCGGATCATGAGGTCAGGAGATGGAGACCATCCTGGCTAACACAGTGAAACCCCGTCTCTACTAAAAATACAAAAAACTAGCCGGGCGTGGTGGCGGGCGCCTGTAGTCCCAGCTACTCGGGAGGCTGAGGCAGGAGAATGGTGTAAACCCGGGAGGCGGAGCTTGCAGTGAGCTGAGATCCGGCCACTGCACTCCAGCCTGGGCGGCAGAGCGAGACTCCGTCTCAAAAAAAAAATAAAAAATAAAAAATAAAAACAAAAAAAATAAAAACACGAAGGCAGGCTGGGCGCAGTGGCTCAAGCCTGTAATCCCAGCACTTTGGGAGGCCAAGACGGATGGATCATGAGGTCAGGAGTTCAAGATTAACCTGGCCAAGATGGTGAAACCCTGTCTCTACTAAAAATACAAAAAATTAGCGAGGCATGGTGGTGGGCGCCTGTAATCCCAGCTACTCAGGAAGCTGAGGCAGAGAATGGGTTGAACCCAGGAGGCAGAGGTTGCAGTGAGCCAAGATCATGCCACTGCACTCCAGCCTGGGCAACAGAGCAAAACTCTGTCTCAAAAACAAACAAACAAAAAACATGAAGGCCAGGGTGGGCTGGGTGGAGAGTCCTCCTGAAACAGTGTTACTGAGAGAGTTGGAAGGGGCCAAACCCCCCTGTTGGTTTAGGGATGCCAGCCCAGCCCTTCCTGCCCTGCTGTGTGGCTCCAGACCCAGCGCTCCTGCTGTCTCCAGGTGAGTGGCAGGTTCATGCCTGACCCAGGCAACCCCACGTTCCCCTGAGAGCTGGGTGACTTCGGGAACAAGAAGTGTGCTGCTGAAGCATCCTTAACCTTTCCCCAATGCCTTTCCTGTATCACGTTCTAGGTTGCTTCTGGCTAATTCTTCACAGCACAGAGCCTGGCTCACTGGCTTGGCGTGTGTTCCCCTACATCACCCACAACATCAGACCCCTGTTCTTCCTCAGGGTGGGGTAAAGGAGACTCCGGGTCCCAAAGATCCTGTATGGTGCCTCGCCCTGAGGACCAGCCGGTGTGTGACAGACTGCCCTCTGTCAAGGCATCCCACAAGGGAGGAGACAAACTCGTTCCCATCAGTGACAGAAGCACCGGAGCAAGCACTGGAAACTTCCTATTGCAGACACCAGGACCTGGGCCTTCCCCGCACAAGCCTGGCCCTGTGCACACCCCAGAACCTGAGGGGCTGGGCCTGGGGTCTGCACTGTCCCCGGCACTCAGGAGACTGGACAGGAGACTGGACAGCCCGCTCGGGACACCCCTGGAGCTGTGGGTGGCGTGGCCAGGACTCACCAGGCCTTCTGTTGTCTGTGTTCTGATGTGCTGACATCTGGACCTTTCTGACCCTAGAGGGACTGCCCCTCCCAGGGTAGCCAATTCTAGAGAGAGTAAAGGCCCAGGCTTGCCCTGCAAACTCGCCTTTCCAGCGCCCACCAATCCCCACAGAGCCCACACCCACCCCCCTTCTATGGGGCCCTCACACTCCAGGCAATATGCCCCTGCCCTCCTCACCCCAGGGCGGGTACCAGACAGGCAGGGACAGCCCCTGTGCCCCAGAACCCAATGAAATCATTCACACCAACCAATCCTCAGCCCGCTTACCCTGCCTTGCCTGTTCCTTCCTGCGGAAACCATATTACCGTCTCAGGCCCACAGTTTCCCCTTGAACCCTCTGCCTCCTGACTGACCCTGGGCTTCCCTATGGCCCCACGGTGTGGTGTGATGTGCCCCTTTCTCTTGGAAACTGAGGATGACAAACCATCTTGTCAATGGCAGTAGTCTCCTGATCCTTCCTACACCTGAGTGATAATAAAGCCTCCATTGAACACAGCCCTGGCCTCGTCTCCGTGAAGCCGGCTCCCAGTGGTCCAGGCACCGGGCTTCCCTTCACCTGCCCAGCCTGCCTCCTGATGGTACCCGTGTCAGCCAGCAACGTCCCCATGCAGGCGCCAGCAAGCCTGACCCGCAAAACGCTCCCATGACCTGGTCACTTGGCAGCTTACCCATGCTGTGCCCCATACCCACAGTTTCTCTTAGCCTGAGGCCATCTGCCGCCTCTCCATCTCCCCAAGACCCCAGCACCGAACCAAGAGCCCCATAAATGCTAATGAGAACGCAAACAAACTCCCTCAATGCAGCCCCAGCGTGTTGTGGGAACTGTCTGCTCTGGTCTCCACACTGCACTGCGGGCCTCACAGGTCCTGCCCCACCGTGTCCTGAAGAGCACAGAGCACTCAGCCTGTGCCACACCCCATGGATGACCCCGGCCAGGTACCATGCTCTCTGTGCCTCAGTTTCCCATTGAGGAAAACAGTTTCCCCACTCACACTGTCTCCTCCCAGGAGTTTTATAAAGTCGGCAGTGAGCACTGCGCAAAGGGCAGCTTTGGCAGCACCACTGGCAGGACTGACCATCATACCTTCCCAGGGTCGGGAGGTGCCCACTGTGCAGTTGTGGAAACTGAGGCTCAGGACTGAGGTCACTGCTCAAGGTGTCAGGTAGGCTTGGCCTGACCTGCGTGGATTCTTCCCACAGGATTTTCTCGGGCACACTGCATCCCAGGACCTCCCCTTGCACACGGCACGAGCCTATGTGCCACATTCCTGGAAACAAGGTGTGGCGTGACGCCCACTAAAAATCTCAAAACCCTCCCGAGGAAAGGCCTGCAGCCTGCAGCGGGGACAGAGAAGGGGAAGCCTACCTGGGCCAGGCCGGCGTCCTCGTCAGCCTTCTGGGGGGTGTTCTCAGGGTCAGGTTCCTCACCCACGTCGCTGTCGGCCTCCTCCTGGGGGGTGACCTTCGGGACCTGGCTGTCCAGGGTCATCTCTGGGTGTGCCCCCAGCACAGTGGGGCTTGGGCCAGCCTCCAAGCCCTCCTCGCAGGGGAAGTTCTCTCCAGCCACACTGGAGGATGGACTGTCGATCCCGCTGTCCCGGTTGGGGATCTTTAAGCTACCACTCTGCTCTCCCGTGGGGCCCGTGTCTAGAGAGCCGTCCCCTGCTGCAGCTGGGCTGCCAGGATCCCCACAGTGGGCCCTGGGCCCGATGGGGAGCACTTGGAGCTTCCCCAGGGAGGAACTGCCAGGTCCAGTATCTGGCACCCCTAGGGCAGCAATGGGTCCTGGAGGGGTTGAGGACCCCCTGCCTGACTCCATCCTTAAAGCTTAGGTCACTGGGCTCAGGTGGAGGCTGGCCAGGGGTTTCCTGTAGGGGAGAAACAAGACAGAGTCAGTGCTAGCCAGGCATGGACCAGCCCCCTCAGGTGCAAACCCCAAATGCAGCCCCCAGGCAGTACCCTCTACCCCCCACCCAAAGCCTCGAGCAGGTGGGCTGGGGGCTGTGTGTGAAGTGTGAATACCCTGGTCAGCTTCAGTTGGGTCTTGTACAGACAGGCTTTTAGAGAACAGAAAGTAGAAAATGTTTTCTTTTAAAATTAAGTTTCTTCTGCATAAAAAAAAAGTAACCCTGTGGTGTGAAGCTATCTGCTGTTCAATAAATTCAAATAGATGCTCAAGGTAGTGACCATAACCAACAGGAACACAGTGGCTTCTGTTTATAGCGCATCCGTGGTGCTTTTCAATCCTCTGATACTCCCAGGATGTGAGGCCAGTGTCCTCCTCCTCCTCCTCCCCACCACTGCCTGCTGGACAGGTCAGAAAACAGCCCCCAGGGGTCCAAGGTCCCAGCTGTCTCTACTATCTCCCTCCGGGGAGGGCTGGGGCAGGAGGTGGGTCTCACCAGAGGATGTGGACCAAGGTCTTTGCCCCAAAACTCTTCCTCCCTCCTATGCACTGGAGCCACCTCCCACTGGCCCACCACACCTCTCATGGACCAAATTCAAGTGTCAATTCTAAGTGCACAGAGAATTCACCGGGCGCCTCTGAGGAGAAGCAAAAGTGAGATGGGCCTAGAGGGAGACTGTCATCCCTCAAAATCATCCTCTTGAACCCAAGACGCAGCTGTCGAGGAGCCTAGGGGCTGCAAGCAGCGGTCACTTATCCCCGTACCTGATGCCACCAGCCTCTCCGAGGAGGGTGCTGAGGGTTGGCAGGCACAGGCGCCTGGCTCCGCGCTGGGGTCTGGGATTGGCCGGCAGAGGCTCGCACACAGTAGATGGTTTCCTTGAAAATCTTTTCCTTGCCCAGCAGGTTCAAAGTAGAGCCATTTAGGAGGTACTGAAAAGACATTAGAAGAGAAAGAAAACCACGTTCTCCAACTGGCATTTGGAGCAGCCAGAGGCCCGGCTCTAGGGGGGTGTGGAGGAGGGAAGCTCTATGCCACTGACCAGCAGAGTGGATCCCAGGACTGGGGCATGGCAGTCTGCACAGCCATATCCTCAGCCCCCAGGCTGGCACACAACACCTCCAAAAGGGTGGCGCCTGCACCAGCAGCCATTCACTGTGGGGTGGGCAGTGTCTTGCTCAGCTAGAAACTCTGGGGTCAGGGCTGAGCTTGTCCCTGGCCATGTAGCATCCTGCGGCCCAGGGGAAGGGTCACCTTGAAGGTGCAGGCACTGTCCAGTGTGAGGCGAGCCGGTGGGCATCGCCAGGCCCCTCCCCAGCCCACACCTCACACCCTCCCCCAGGCACACACAGAGAGGCTCCCTCAAACACTCACACCGATGGGCTGGTTCACACTCACACACGCACACTCACACTCACACTCACACTTAGATATTCCTCTGCCAGCAGCTTTACATGCTCCTGCCTCACTTACAAAGCAGAATAAAGAAGAGGCAGTGAAGAAACAGGCTTCACAAGACAGGCACACCGTGAGCCAGCCCTGGCTGCCTTGAGCAGGCAGGTGTGCCTCTGGGCAGGGTGTGACGCAGGCCTGGGCTCTGGCAGCGTCCCAGTGGCTGTGGATGCCAACCAGCTCCACGGTGGAGCACCTCCACCCCGCACAGGCTCCTGAGTGCTCGCTCTCTTGGGGCAAAACCACTTTTGAGTGGATGTTTCTTTAAATGACTCCAGAATCACTCAGGTGGGCATTTATGATTGGCTACTGCCGCATTCCTAACGAATTCAATGGGGGGCAATATTAAGATTTCTGAACAGAAAATACATGTTTTGCCGCATTCTTCTCATAGCACAAGAGATAAACTCAGGTTTCCAGAGGTCAAACGTGGCACAGCAATAGAAATACACTGGATGGAATGTGAGCTGCGCTCAGCCTCAGTGTGTTCAAAGGTAGCTGTCTGGCAAGACAGAGCCTGGTTCAACCCCATCTCAGGGGAATTAGGGTTCTGGTCAGGATGGAGTAATAGAAACCAGATTTACTCTCACCTGGAACAACAACAACAAACATGGACAAAACCTACGAAAGAGGTTTGCAAGGCTCTACACAAAGCAATAAAACACCGTGGTCCCTGAGAGACGGGAATGAATGAGGTGAGCCCTCCTATTGTCCCAGCTCACTGCCCAGAGACCATTTCTGGACCATGGATCAGGGAAGGGGAGCCCTATGGGGCCCAGTGGACTCTCTGAGTTGAGAAGACAAAACTGGGAGGCCCAGAAGACTAAGGTGGCCAGAGTCCACAGCATGGAGCCCTGAAGAGGAGAGAACTGCACACAGAGAGAGAACCTGGAGATCTCAGAGGGACCCCTCGAGGACCGTTCGGCATGTGTATAGCGGGGAGAGCACATGAGGCCACAGTAAGAACTGCCTGCAAGGACCACAGGGAGCTTTCACAGGGCAGGAACACGCCTGTGCCCACCAGCCAGCCCGAAAAACCCCACAGTTCACGGGGCATTGCGTTGAATACTCAGAGGGTCTTGCTTCAGGAATGATGGATAATTAGCCCTGCAGTGATCACTGCTCTGGTCCCACCTAGCAAATATTAACAAACCTTAACAGGAAGTCCACATGTTTACACAACTGCATCCCTGAACAAAGCTAAAAAATATAGAACTACAAAAATATGTAGTGCACGGCAAGGTAAAATTCCCATAGTCTGGCATCTAATCAAAAATCACCAGGCATAGACCGGGCGCAATGACTCACACCTGTGATCCCAGAACTTTGGGAGGCCAAGGCAGATGGATCACTTGAGGTTGGGAGTTCGAGACCAGCCCGGCCAACATGGAGAAACCCCATCTCTACTAAAAATACAAAAATCAGCCAGGCATGGTAGTGCGTGCCTATAATCCCAGCTGCTCAGGAGGCTGAGGCAGGAGAATTGCTTGAATCCAGGAGGCGGATGTTGCGGTGAGCTGAGATTGTGCAACTGCACTCCAGCCTGGGCGACAGAGCAAGACTCTGTCTCAAAAAAAA